ACCCTAACTAGTGACAGATCAATTGCCCTCCATGAGCTGGAAATAATTGCACAAGTGGTTCAGTTCTGCTACTGTGCACATTTGACAGCTACACAGCACAATCCTATGCACAGTTCCAAGGAAGCAGTTCCCATTAATCTGAGTGGTGAATGCAGAACTGTGCTGTTGAATTCCTGACCTGTTTGACACGCCCCATTTGCTGTGCTGTTTTTGCCTGCATAAGCAGGAGAAGAACCACTGGATGGGGAAGCTTACACAGTTGTGTTTGTGGACCAGATGGGCCTTTCACCTTGGTGAAATCCCTCTAAATTCCACTTTCCCATAAACTTTCCTCCCCTCTCAAACAACACTGGAATGAGGTTATCCAATGAAATTTACTGCCAGTAGACTCTGGCCAAACAAAATATAAGACTTCAACTAGCACATAAGAGTATCTAAAGGAGGGATAGTTTGTTGTGCCCTCCAGAGGTTGATGCTCTCCAACTCGCATTGCCCAACAACTTATGGAAGGCACCACAATGGTGATCCCTGATCTGAAAGGATCCCTGCTCTCCCACACCCATACCAGCCCATTGAGCTCATTAGTGGCAGTTCCACTGCATGTAGAACATGGATAGGCAACCTAAGGCCCGGGGGCCGGATCTGGCCCAATCACCTTCTCAATCTGGCCTGCGGACGGTCCGGGAACCAACGTGTTTTCGCATGAGTAGAATGTGTGCTTTTATTCAAAATGCATCTCTGTGTTATTTGTGGGGCATAGGAATTTGTTCATATTTTCCCCAAAAAATATAGTCTGGCCCGCACAAGGTCTGAGGGACAGTGGACCAGCCCACGGCTGAAAAAGTTTGCTGACCCCTGATGTAGAATCATTGAATTGTAGAGTTGGAAGGGACCCCAACGGTCATCAAGTACAACTCCCTGCAATGCATTAATATTTTGCCCAACGTGGAGCTCAAACCCACAACCCAGAGATCAAGAGTCTCATGCTGTACCGACTGAGCTATGCCAGTAATCCAGTGAACTACCACCTGAGGTTCAGATCATGGAGATGACAGGGCCTTCCCAACAATGGCACCCAAACTCTGGAGCACTTTTCCTTGAGTCCTGTCCTTGTTGATAATATCTCCTTCTTCCAGCAGGACTTTCACACTGGACAGCTGTTCCCTGGCATTCTTAAACAGTTACGTGACATGCTGCCTTGGTGGCCTTTTGAGTAGAAAGGCAGCATATGCATTTTAATATAAATTGATGGCATATGTTGCCAAAAGATGTGATGATGATTGCTGTCTTAGACAGCTTTAAGAGGGATTTTAAAAAATCATGGGGGAGAATTGGTTAAGCAATGGCTTTTAGCCATGATGGCTAGATGGACCCTCCCTGTTCAGAGGCAGTCTACCTTTGAATATCAGGACTGGGTATCCCCCTGCCTGTGGGCTGCCTAGAAGCATCTAGTTGATCACTGTGTGAAGCACGATGCTGGATGATCCTTTGGTCTGATGCAGCGGGACTCTTCTGATGTTTCTAAGCAAGGATTGAAATCCTATTGCTCTTCTTTGTTCTCTTGCTATTAATGCATGGCACCATGCAGTGTTCTGCAGGCAAGATTGGGGGGGGGGGGCAAGAGAAAAACTTTGAATAGCTGCTCCTCTGCCACACTAAATCAACTGAATTTACCTTCTATTTCCATTAACTGTTGTGACCGTGCCCTCGATCACTCTCTTAAGTAGAGTCTTTTAATTTATTTTTCAGATAGTGACCTTAAGGCCTCTCTCTATTAGCCATAATTGTGGTCTCTTGCGTTCGCTTGAAACTTTTTTTGAACGAATGCAGTTCTCCCCTCTATGTGACTTTAATTAACTGTGACAAATTCCGCCCAAAGCACATTTGCAAATAACACATAATTTATGAGGTCAGAGAAGAAGAAATATTTAGTGCCCTATTAAATCAACCGACAGGCATTTGTTTCAGGTACTTAATGGCATCATTTGATGGGCAGCCCACCCCCATCTTTCCCAACACTCTGCGGTAATGCATTTAGAGTACATACATTTCTTGGGAACTTTAAAAGGGGCAATTAAGGCAAACTATAGATCTGAAAGGTAATTTTGCAGGCAGGCAATGGGTGCCATGAATTCCCAAGCAATTTTGCCGAACTCCAACCTTAAGGTGGGATGACAGTGGTTTAACCATCACAGCAGGATAGAAACACCAGCTGTGGGGGTTAATCCAATATCTATTATGGGGCGGCTCTTTGGGGGAAGTTCTTTGCTCAGAGGTGCAGCAGCCACTGTTTCTCACTGTTTGCTGGAATCAAGAGGTCTTGTGAAAGAAAACAGGTTTTCAGGAGACGGGCCATCGCTCAGGGGTAGAGCATCTCCTGTACATGCAGAATAATAATAATTATAATAAATTTTTATTTATATCCCGCCCTCCCCAGCCGAAGCCGGGCTCAGGGCAGCTAACAACAATAAAATAATACAACATTCTAAAATCATTCCATTATAAAATTTATTCAAATCAAATTGATGGCAACCATTGGGCTAGAGAAGGGGGTAGGTTCAGTCCCCCCCTAGGTGGGGATGGGCGAGACTTCTGCCTGAAACCTTGGACAGCTTTGCAATCCCTCCTGGCCAGGCATGAACCTATGGCCCTGCCTGCTATCATTTTCAGAGCGCGGAATGGAGGGGACTACTTATGAACAACATTGCATTTTACAGTAAACTAATTCTCAACAACCATATAAAGCAAGTCATTACTCTGAGCTAGATCTCACTCCACTCACCATGCAAATTTATTCCCAGGCCAGCCCGATAAATGCATATAGCCAAAGCACACTCCTTTTCACTGCTCATGGTACAGTATGCTTTCGACAAGGGTTACACAGAACCCAAAACAGATTTTTGACAGATTGCAAGGATCCTGAGGATTCGCAAAACAACTGGCTGCTTCCAAGTGGGGTTACACTTTGCTTGTGGGGACTTCAGGGTTTTATTCGTTTTAGTGTCAGGAGCGTTCACATCCCACTGGCCTCTTCAAGCATCCTACTTCAAACAGCAAGCTGGAGTGCCCGCCTGCAAGCAAAGGCACTCAAAAGAAGGCTGAGGTATTTACTTCTAAGGACCTTTGCTACACCTGCACCACAAAAATTCAAACAGCAGCACTGTTTGGAATCAGGTTTTACCAAGAGGGAATCTAACTGTCCTCTAGGAGTCAGAGTAGCAGCAGCAGCAGCTAGGCCAAAAATCAAAAGGATTACATATTATATATGCAGGACTACAAAAGGGCATATGATAAATATGTTATGCTAAAAAGAAATAAGACTTAAGTTTTAAGCTTTAGGGTTTTTTATGGTAAGATAAGGTTAAAATAGATTAAGGATTTAATGACAGAATATTGTGAAAGATGGAAAGGATTTGCTGAGATAATTAATAACTAGAATACAAAAAAGGGAGGTGTGAGGAGGTCCATGAAACAAGTTAATGAAAGATAAAGATTTGGGAATATTGGATTTGTTTTTAAATTTTTTGTTTATTTTTGCTTTTTGATTTTGATGTATTTGTGTGATTTGTTTTTTTCTTTGACTTTCTCTTTTTGTCCACTTTTTTTCCTTTTTCTTCTTTTCTTGTTTTTTCCTTTCTTTCTCTGTAATTTTAAATTTTCAATAAATATCATTTTTTTTTAAAAAGGGCATATGGATACTATGAAGGCAGGCAGAGAAATCAACAAAAAGCAAGTAAAGCACAGCTATAGCATTGGGAAAGGGATCTGCTGACATCTCTGACTGAGGCTCTGATGAAATGAATATAGTAATCAATGCCCAATATCCAAAAAGCCAACTGTGCCAGACTTCCCTTAAGACTGCAAAACATAGACCAGCCTACTACTTTTTAAAAAGTTGAAGAAAGTGCTTCATGGTGTCCCAGCACTGAAAGAGGGGTGGAGTGACATCTAGTCTGTTCCTCTGTGCAGGAAGTCCCAAGTTTAGCATCCCTGAAAGATGGCTGTCCAGCCTCTGCCTCAAGACTAGCAAGCAAGGGAGAGCCCACCACCCCACTAGGTAAATTTATCTCCTGTATATCAAGCCAATTAGATCTGGTCCTTCTCTCTGGGGCAGCAGCAAATGTATTGCTGCCCTCTTCTATGATGCCTGTGCGTGAATTTGTTTCACGTGTGTAGATCAGTCCACGCTGACCAACGCACAGTCTTTGAAGTAAGGCTCTGTTCCGATGGCATGAGTAGTCCTGGTGGATGAAAAAAGCTCAAGAGATCCAGCACTTAGCCGACACTCATGATGCACAGAGTTTCTTTAAAGCCACAAACACCATCTATGGGCCAATAAAGCATGGGATATGCCCCCTATGCTCAGCAGACGGTGCCACACTTCTAAAAGATAAAGAAGCTATTGCACTGCGCTGGAAAGAACATTACCAACATCTCCTTAACTGCAACTCCCCCATAGCTGCTGAGGTCCTCTCTCAAATTCCACAAAACCAAGTTAGAGATCAACTTGCAGTATCTCCAAATCTGGGAGAGCTGTGTACAGCTATTAACCAAATGAAAAACAACAAAGCCAGCAGACCTGATGGGATACCTGCCAAAATCTTCAAAGTGGGTGGAATTGAATTTAAACAACAACTTCACAAGCTCATCGAAAAAATCAAGGGGAAAGAAGAAATCCCAGCAGACTTTAGGGATGCCAAAATTATCAATCTCTTTTAAAAAGGTGACAGAACTGATTGCGGAAACTATTGAGGCATCTCTCTATTAGCTGCTGCTGGCAAAATTATTGCAAGGATCTTAGCCAACTGTCTCTTAACAATATCAGAGGTGACCCTTCCTGAATCCCAAAATGGTTTTCAGCCTTCTAGGGGGATAGTGGACATGATTTTCACCACTTGACAGCTTCAAGAAAAATGCAGAGAGCAAAACCAACCCCTGTATATGGCGTTTATTGACCTGACTAAATCGTAATGCCCTGTGGACTGTTCTTCTGAAAATTGGCTTCCCAGATAAATTTGTAAACATCATTCGGCTCCTCCATGATAATATGACAGCAACAATCACAGATAACAATGGCTCTCAAAATGAACCATTCACAGTGGGATCAGGAGTTAAACAGGGTTGTGTTATTACCACAACTCTATTCATTATTTTCATTACCATGATCCTACACTTTGTCGAGGGGAAACTCCCCACCGGAGTAGAAATCATGTATCGAACAGATGGAAAACTCTTCAATCTGCGCAGGCTGAAAGCAAAGAGTAAGGTTACCGTAACTTCCGTCATTGAGCTTCAGTATGCTGATGACAACGTAGTGTGCGCATGCTCAGAGGATGACCTCCAAACCATCCTAAATATCTTCGCAGAAGCTTATGAACAGCTTGGCCTATCACTCAACATCCAAAAAACCAAAGTGCTGCACCAACAAGTACAAAATAACCCCTCTGCAGCGCCACAAATCCAACTCCATGGTGTAACGTTGGAAAACGTTGATCACTTTTCCTACCTGGGCAGCTATCTTTCCACAAGGGCCGAAATTGATGCCGAAATCCAGCATCACCTGAGCTCTGCGAGTGCAGTTTTCTCCTGTTTGAAGTGCAGAGTGTTTGAGGACCGGGACATTTGCACGGAAACCAAAATGCTTGTTTACAAATCTATTGTACTACCAACCTTCCTGTGTGCTTGTGAAACATGGACCACTTATAAATGCCATCTCCAACTAAAAGATTCCACCAACGGTATCTCCGAAAAAATTTACACATTACTTGGGAAGACAGGGGAACTAATACCAGTGTACTGGAAGAAGCAAAGATCACCAGTGTTGAAGCAATGATTCTTCAACATCACCTTCATTGGACTGGTCATGTTGTGCCTGATGATCATCTTCCAAAGCAACTACTCTATTCTGAACTTAAAAATGGGAAGCATAATGCTGGTGATCAACAAAAGAGGTTTAAAGACTGTCTCAAGGCAAATCTTTTAAAAGGTAGTATAAACACCAACAATTGGGAAACACTGGCCTGCGAGTGCTCCAGTTGGAGAACAGCCTTTACCAAAGATGTCATGGACTTTGAAGACACTCAAACTCAGAACGCAAGGGAGAAAAGTGCTAAGAGGAAGGCACACTTGGCAAATCCACACCGTGATCCAACTCCCGCCCGGAAACCAATGTCCCCACTGTGGAAAGACGTGTGGGTCCAGAATTGGCCTCCACTGTCACTTACGGACTCATTGTTAAAACCGTGTTTATGGAAAACAATCATACTCGACAATGAGTGATCGCCAAAGAAGCAGCAGCCCTCTTTTATGTGGCAGCCCTGAGTAACTGAAGAGATGTTTCATGTCTCATTCCCCTGCTCATCTCAGTTCCTTCATAGTGTGTTTTCTAGGCTCCTGGCCATCTTCACTGCCCTCATCTGAAGTTGCTCATTTGTCTTTCTCCCCCCCCCCCTTTTTTTTTTAGAAATCATTTTTATTGGTTTTAGAAATACAAATAAACACAAACTAAAAAAAGCATATCTATATAAAGAGATTCTCTGAATCTCAAGACTTCCCCCCATCCCCTCTGTGGGGTCTCATTTTAAACCTCTGCAACTGCATATTCATCCATACTCCAATTTTTATATCAAACCATATTGTCCATAGTAATTTATACACTACACGTGAATCAAAATCTTGCTCGTTTCCATCCGCTTACAGTGGTCTCTAACGTAACTTATGAATTTTTCCCATTCTTTTATAAAGTTTTTATTCTCTTGGTTTCCAAGTTTTCCATCTCGGCTTTGCCACCTCGGCATAGTCCATCAACTTCTCTGGTAGGCGAAGTTGCTCATTTGTCTTTCATGCCTTCTCCATGAAGCCCAAGGGCAACACGTGGAAGCAGGAGGCAGTACAACCCTGCTGGCCCTGCTCTCCGGTGCGTCAACCAGAAGCCGTGAAAAAGAGCACTTGACTGTGCAAGATTCCTGACCACATACGTAGAGCATCTGCAGCCAAGTGTGGGTAGGGGCTTTACTCAACATTCCTGCCTACATGAAAATTTTGGCGGTGGAGTCAGAAGGGCAAATGATGTCAGGGGCTTGGCCCTCCTCCATGTGTTTACAATTCCAGAACGGAAGGAAAGTGCAAACTATAGCTTACACATCTGACTATAATGGCAAACTATGGTTTGTTATAAATTGAGGGAGTATTTAAAATACCCAAATGCTTGTTTGTGCAATGTGAAACTACAAATTGGAATTGCATGTCAACAAAGTTAGTGTCCCCTTAAAAATGGTGGGCATTAAAAAAGGTAAAAGATGCGTCTCTGTGTACATGAGCAAAAATAATGATTACAGTGGTACCTCTGGTTGCGAACAGGATCCGTTCTGGAGGCCCATTCGCAACATGAAAAGAGTGCAACCTGAAGCACCGGATCTGCACAGGTGTGTGGTGCAATTTGGCACTTGTGCGCATGCGCGAAGTGCGATTTAGTGCTTGTGTGCATGCGCGAGCGGCGAAACCCGGAAGTAACCCTTTCCGGTACTTCCGGGTCGCTGCGGGACATAACCTGAAAGAACGTAACATGAAGCAAACGTAACATGAGGTATGACTGTACCTGAAAGTGCCTGTGGGACAGTGGAGCCCGCCGTTTGATAATTACCAGCGTGCCTATGTAACCCATGCCGAATGGCCTCTTTTAAGTGGGCTTGCTTTGAGTAATGGAAGAGTTATTTTCAATGTAACTTGTCCTTTTAAACAGCTTTATGCAAAGCAGGGAATAAAAACAGGCTTAAAATAGAAAAACAGAACCCTGGTTTTTAATTTATATAAAATACAACATGCATAATATATTACAGTTTCAGCTTCTGGGCAGAGAGTTCTCGTTTCTTAGGTTTCTTCTGGATTTTCTTTGCATCCTTAATTTGCATTTTTACTTGATCTTGCAGCTGAGAAAAGAAGGCTTGGGAGGACTTCAAAGCCTTGTCTTTGCCATCATCCTGTAGCAGAGCAACATTTATTTCAGAACAAATGGAAACATGCACATGTAAAGTAAAATAATGCCCCACAGTTTCAGCCAATTAATTGTTCCAGCAGAATGCATAAGAGAAAGACCCCATTTGTATTCCGATTGATAACTAAATGGCAAACAGCAGCTGTTATGTTATGCAATACCCTTTTTCTGGCAGCATAATAAATCCAGAAAGCGGAAGGGAGGCTTGGCGTTATCTACACTCTCATGCTTAATGCATGTTAATGAGAGATAAGCATGCAGCACTAGGAAAGCATCCCTTCATAATCGAGGACTAAGAGCAATGGGAGCCCCAGTGGAATTTTAAACATTATTCCTTCAAGTTACTCCACCATAATCACTCTATCCTTTAAAAAGGGTCTTATGTTTCACCAACAAAGCATAGCAGAAGGTAGGTTTGTTTGCCATAATATACTTCATTTAAACAATGCCCAAGTTGTTTTGTGGTTCCACTGGGCTGAAGGTGCAGAGAATTATCAGAAATCCATCTCAGATATCATATTCAGAATACTATTATGCTTGTAACAGAAACACACCAGCCCCCAGATGAGTGAAGGACCTGCCTTCTCTGGCATCGGCTTGCTTGCCTGCCTGGGTCCTGCTCCACCACTTTTCATCACCTCAGCACCACCACCCCAGAGCCTCATTACCCGACCTCCAGTTTGCCCATGATGCTGTTTTTCAGGATTTTTTTAATTAAAAAAAAAGGCTGCTGAGGGGTGTGTGTGCGTGTATAGAGAATCAAGGGTGGATTTTTGTGTGACAGGATTGTCAGATCAGTTTTGGTACTGAAAACAAATACCTGACCTGGGCTAAGCACGTGCTCAGAGGCACTCTGTTTCTTAACTATTCCACCCCTACCCCATCCTCAAGCACTATTTTACACCTGGCTCCGTTGGGTGGATCTCAGCATTTCTAGCAAAAACAAACAACAAACTTGATCCTGCAAACCAAATATGCCTAATAAGCAAGTTGTAGTACATCAGCCTTTGCTCCCCCACCCCAGTTCCCTGCAGATGTTTTGTACGCCTGAAGTCCAAAACATCTGAAGGGAACCAGGATAGCCTAGGCAAACACACCCACACACACCAAGTTCAGGAGCAGAACACACAAAGGCCTTGGACTAAAGTCTGCTTCTATAGAAAGAAGAATAGATTGATTTCTCCAGTTGTTTCTTTAGTAACCTTACCTTGAGCAAGGAGGTTCTACCTTCCTTGGTTAGCTTCTTCAGTTTCTCAGCCGAAGCCTTTTTGCTCAGTCTAGCCCCCGGCACCAAATTCTTCTCCAGGAGTTTTTGCCGCTTCTCCCTCTCCTTCAGCTTCAGGCGTTTAACAAGCTTCTTTTTCCTCCGTTCCCTTTTTTTGTCAGTGGGGTTTTTTTCAGCATTTGTTTTCACATCCCCACCTTTGTTCTTCTCCTAAAAATAAGAACAGACTGAGAGTGGGATCCAAAAGCAACATAGAAAACTCTCTTTCACACAAATATACAAAATCAAAGTACCAGCTATCTGGCTGCAGCTTTCCCCAAGATGGCACCCCACTCCACAATTCTCTGGCCTGCAACTCCCCCCAGCCCTGCCTTAGGTCTTCAGCAGCTCAGCAGCTCACTCTTTCTGCCTATGAATATTAGGCGGCTGAGTACACACCAGGGCTTTTTTCACCACTGCAGTCAAATTTTGGTACTCTGTCCCCAGTATGCTTCCCTGGCC